CACACACACACACACACTCACTCACTCACATACACACTCACTCACTCACTCACACAGAGAGGTGTGTATAAACTAGGGCTGCCCCCTAATAATCGACTAACTGTTAGCTGACGAGAAGAGGCTTGGTCGACCAAAATTTTATTAGTCGCTTAGTTGTGGAAATTATAATTTTTTTTAATCCCCAGGCAAAGTCACGCAGTCCGTGATGGCTGGTCTTTGTGGTAATACTGTACAGTACATCAGGCAGAACATCCAAACACTTGCCTATCATTCATCAACCTCAAATATGGCTTATCATCTGAAATATGTTAGTAGCAGCAACTTTACATGGCCGCTCAATCTGATGTTAACCAAGAGAAATGTGCTCTGTTCAAGTGTCTGTGTGGAGCTGAACAGTAGCTCACTGCAGACAGATGGAGGCTCACTCGATGTTAAAATACTCCTCATGTTTGCTCATACAGATAAGAGTAATACATCTCTGTAAAGACTCTACGTTTCTTTTTTGTGCACTCACAATAACAAAACAGAAGAGCAAACAGGATGCACTTTCGGTCTCTGTGAACTTGAGCGCAAAACTCCGTGTATACTTGCCTTTATATGAAAAATATATCTATAGAGAGCGAAATGTCTTTCAAATGATCCCATTCAAATTGAAAAAAATTCCCAGATTATGTAATCCGTATGAAATGTGCATACAGGCGCATCACAACTGTGGAGATGAGTCCGTGTCGCCGAGTTCATCTCTTAAACCGAAAACACTAGTTTATCAGCACATTATTAAAATGTTAATGCAGCCTCCTTACCGTTTTCCCCTGACACATTCATAATCATTACTTCTGCGGTGTGCTGTGGCAAGCTTTATGCATGCGCTTGAGCGCTTATTAGGCAATGCAGGCAATTAAAGGCTCATTATGATTTAAATGGTTTATTAATAATAGTGCGACTAGTCGACTAATGCTTCAAATGAACGACTACTAGTCGACCAGAAAAATCCTTAGTCGAGGGCAGCCCTAGTTTAAACACAATAACGACTTGTACTCTTGAAGCTGAAGTGAAGAATGAGCTGATGAAGTCTCTGATCTCCCTGCAGCTGAAGAACAGCTGATGATGAAGATGATGAAGACTCCAGCAGGAGGAGATTCATCAGATGAGGAGGAGCGCATGCGCAGCGGGAATAAGAGCTCTATCTAAACGCATGTCTGCGCAGAACTGCAGCACCACAGACTTTATTTGATCACATGTTTTACTGGCAGGACTGCTGTGTAACTGTTCCTATGGAATAATAAACGAAAGAAACTCCACACAGATGCTGGCTGTGGTTTATTCAGCTCTAGATCAGTTGAGATCTAAGTCCTGTTCGTGGGCTCAGGGCGGCGCGGTCAGTCCGGTGCGGAGCGTCAGCGCTCCGGGGTTATCCAGCGCGAAACACGGCTGAACGTAGTGCAGGAACTGACAGCTGAAGGTGTAGAGGTGCTGCCGCAGCGCTGCGTTGTAGAAGGACAGGATCCCGCGGGTGTAATCGAGGAACACACCGATCCGCAGCGGCTGCACTGTGATGCGGATGTCTGGCGTCCAGCCGTTGTGCAGGAACTCGTATTTGTGCCTGCAGGAGGAGAGAAGCCTGAGCGTTCAGATAGACTCTAGATAGACACGAATACCTCACCATTCCCCCTCATTCATGCTATAGGACCTTAGTGAAAACATGATGAGCTCACAGATGCAGTGTTGACAAGTCTGCCGTTTTCCTGCAACATTGGTTTACTTTAACAGTGTTGTCACGGGTTGTTTTTCATGTCGTTGAGTTGAAGCGACCCCAATAACGTGATATTTAGCCCCGCCTGTCATGCTAATTGTACCGGGGAACCCCATTTAAAAAAACGTGTATTTTACCCCTTGGCAGGGTTGGGCAAAGATGCATCAAAATGTATTTTAAAATAAAATACCAAATACTTTAATTTTAAGTGTATCAAAATAAACTACAAAATACAGCAGCCACACCAAGTATCAAAATAAACTACTGTATTTTAAAAATACTAAAAAATACTTTTACAAGGGAGCATGAAATTTCTTCACAAACCTTCCATCAATTGGCCTATTTGATCTCTCTCTTCACCAATACACTGATGTTTGTGAACAAGTGAACAATGTTTGATAGCAACAGCTTTTCTCTACGAGTCATGCAATAAATCTGACATAAGCAACCAGTTAACAGATCAGATATTCACATATCCCTGTGATCTCCCAGATGAAGGTTAGTTTTTTTACAGTTTGCGAATGACTCATAATTGTATCCTCATTTAATTACTTGGTGTTTGGTAACAAAGGGCCTACTGTGCATCAGCAGCACTGACTCAGTGACAAACAAGTCATTCATAAGAAGACAACTGATATACAGGAATTCATAGCAACTAGTTTCTAACTACTTTAATCATTTGATTGTTAGTCATAAATATAATAATATATTATGTGTCAGGCAGTCATTCATGCAATGGTATGCAAAATCATGATCCTATTTAAACAGCTACTTCAATTAGGGTACAATATTCATAAATCAAATATTTATTTATCAATCACTGGACACCTATTTGGAAGTTGAAAGCAAACACTTTAGCATTACAACAATTATTAAATGATCAATATGTTTTGATTTTAAATGTAGCCAGAAACGTAATCAGAAAGTAGCAACAGAAATTGTCAAGGAGTATTAACCCAACTCCAGCCACTGAATTATACACTTATAATAAGTGCACTTGCACCAAGCACATCACATTCTATTACACATTCATCCAGGCTTCTTTTTGAATGAATGAATAATTTCTGCCCACTAAAAGCTGCACGGATATAAAGAAAACTCCTTCAATTAAATTCAGTTTAGCAGATAACCACATCACCAAGTAGAGGCAAAGGGGTTCAAAGCAACTTTTTGCACAATATGAAATCATAGACAAGGTGAAATAATATTGTACTAATAACAATTATAAAATAATAATAATAATAATAATAGGTAACAACCTAAGCCTTTTTAACCTCACAAGGGCATTACTTAAGGAAAATGACCATAGTAACAGAGAGCGAATAGATTTGCAACAGTGTCAACATTGTCGCTAATTTTGACAAATAATTGAGGAAAAGAAAAAGTCAAATACTGAAATGAAATTTAGAGAGAAAAAATCTGAACATATTAAGACTGACATGGAAATTAAAGAAAATAGCAATTACAAGAATAGAAAATTAAATTTCAGATAGTATCGCCGTTATTAGAAGTTTTTAACAGGTGATTGAAAAGAGGCCTCCAGGAAGCATCAAACTGATCTATATTTCCAGAAATACTATATCTAAGTCTTTCCACATGCAGGGTGGAGGAGAGTTCTGACAACCAAGTTTTGAATAGTGTCTTCGACTTTTTCTTCCACACGCAAAGAATAGATTTTTTTGCAATCATCATACCATACTGTATAGGCAGTCGGAAAGCATGGCTAAGACGCTGCAAGGAAGCTGACCAGCCAAGAACAGCAGCCGCAGGATCTAAAGGAAGATGTTTGGCCTAGTTTTGAGTAGCAATTGAGCGGGTGTTGTTGCGAAAATCTGCCAACTCTGCACAAATGGCACACAATAGTAGGGTTAGTGTCTCATATTTCAGTGATTTCAATTGTTTAAATGTTTACACTTAGTAATTTTAAAGCGCAAGTGCCGCAGGCTGAGTAACGCGCTTGCAGATGCACGTGTTGCATAGCACAAATGTTTAAAGTAAACATTTTAATGCTTTCGCCCATATTCCAAGAGAAATGCACTTTCATTGTTTGAACCGTTTGCTGTGGTTCTGCGAGGCGACGCACCTGGACGGTGTGAGGATGTGTCTCATGCACCAGGACGTGTTGTTCCCGCCCAGGTACGAGTTGCGCTGTGTGTCCTCGTATGCCACGCCCACGCGGAACTCTGCGCTCTCGTCCACATCGATCTCCCAGTAATACTGGCCTCTGATGGGCACCAGGTCACCCAGAACCGCCACGCACCTGCAAGAGACACAGTGTTAGCGGCTCCGACCCGACCCGACTGACCCGCTGCTGCCTCACCTGTTGAAGGTGTTGTCGCTGAAGGTCATGTGACTGATGGGAAGATCTTCATCCAGGTAGAACATGGTGAGGCCGTCGGTTGACAGCGACAGGCTTGGATGCGCTGTGTCTTCCAGCAGTTGGAAGAACGTACCTGTACTCACACACGTCACACACAAGTGTTCGTCAGGTGCGTTCATATTTAAACAGGGAATCATCTCAGTTATCGGCAGTGAAGTACGGAGAGCCACAAGGATCTGTCCTAGGTCCACTGCTATTTTCGATATACATGTTGCTCCTTGGTAATATTATTAGGAAATGCGGGATTAGTTTCCACTGTTATGCTGATGATACTCAACTATATATCTCAACAAGACCAGATGAAACTTCTAAATTATCTAAGCTAAGGACATGAAAGGTTCAGTAGACTTTTTGCTTTAAATGAATGGTTATTGTCATGGTGTAAAGAACAGAAACTGCTCTTTGTTAATAATTGGAATCTTTTCTGGGAGCGTCCTAGGCTTTTTCGCGCTGATGGCCTGCACCCCAGCAGAGTCGGAGCGGAACTCATGTCGGACAACATCTCCAGGACGCTACGCTCCATATGACTAGTAAGTCAAATCTCAAATAACTGCCCTGATGACTTTTGTTCTACCCGCTTAAATGATAGAAGTACTTGTGCTGTCCAATCTATAAAGACTGTGTCTGTTCCCCGAATAGTGAGGTCAAAATATAAATTTAATGCAGGATCTAGAAAAAATCTTATCGTGATTAAACCAGAAAAATGTAAAATAAATGAACAAAAACAATTTTTAAAGTTTGGGCTCCTAAACATTAGATCACTCTCACCCAAAGCAGTTATTGTAAATGAAATGATCACAGATAATCGTTTTGATGTACTCTGCTTGACTGAAACCTGGCTAAAACCTAATGATTATATTGGTCTAAATGAGTCTACTCCACCAAGCTACTGTTATAAGCATGAGCCCCGTCAGACTGGTCGTGGCGGCGGTGTTGCAACAATATATAGTGATATTCTCAATGTTACTCAGAAGACAGGATACAGGTTTAACTCATTCGAAATACTTCTGCTTAATGTTACACTGTCAGATATGCAAAAGAAATCTATTGTATCTCTTGCTCTGGCTACTGTGTATAGACCACCAGGGCCATATACAGATTTCCTAAAAGAATTTGCAGATTTTCTCTCAGACCTATTGGTTACTGTTGATAAAGCGCTAATTGTCGGAGATTTTAACATTCACGTTGATAATACAAATGATGCATTAGGACTTGCGTTTACTGACCTAATAAACTCTTTTGGAGTCAAGCAAAACGTCTCCGGGCCCACTCATCGTTTTAATCATACGCTAGATTTAATTATATCGCATGGAATTGATCTTACTGATATAGATATCGTACCTCAAAGTGATGATGTTACTGACCATTTCCTTGTATCGTGCATGCTGCGTATTACTGATATTAACTATATCGCTCCGCGTTATCGTCTGGGCAGAACTATTGTTCCAGCCACCAAAGACAGATTCACAAATAACCTGCCTGATTTATCTCAACTGCTCTGTGTACCCATAAGTACACATGAACTAGACGAAATGACTAGCAACATGGGCACTATCTTCTCTAATACATTAGAAGCTGTTGCCCCCATCAAATTGAAAAAGGTTAGAGAAAAACGTACTGCGCCATGGTACAACAGTAATACCCATTCTCTCAAGAAAAAAACTCGTAGTCTTGAGCGCAAATGGAGAAAAACTAACTTGGAAGTTTTTAGAATTGCGTGGAAAAACAGTATGTCCAGCTATAGACAGGCTCTAAAAGCTGCCAGGGCCGAGCATATCCACAAACTCATAGAAAATAACCAAAACAATCCAAGGTTTTTATTTAGCACAGTGGCTAGATTAACAAATAACCAGACGCCACCCGACCTACATATTCCCTCACAGTTTAATAGTAATGACTTTATGAATTTCTTCACTGATAAAATAGATAACATCAGAAATACAATAACAAATGTAGATTCTACAGCGTATAATACTTCAGCTTCATTCATCGCACCAAAAGATAAACTGCAGTGCTTTACAATTATAGGACAGGAAGAGCTAAATAAACTTATCACTGCATCTAAACCAACAACATGTCTGTTAGATCCTGTACCCACTAAATTACTGAAAGAGTTGTTACCTGTAGCAGAAGAACCGCTTCTCAATATTATTAACTCGTCGTTGTCTTTAGGTCACGTCCCAAAACCATTCAAGCTGGCGGTTATTAAGCCTCTTATTAAGAAACCACAACTAGATCCTAGTGAACTGGCAAATTACAGACCCATCTCAAATCTTCCTTTTATGTCTAAAATTTTAGAAAAAGTTGTGTCTGCTCAATTGCGCTCCTTCCTGCAAAAAAATTATCTCTATGAAGAATTTCAGTCAGGTTTCAGGCCCCACCATAGCACAGAAACTGCACTTGTTAAAATTACAAATGACTTGCTTCTTGCGTCAGACCAAGGCTGTATCTCATTGCTAGTTTTACTTGATCTTAGTGCTGCGTTCGACACTATAGATCATGACATACTCATAGATCGATTACAAAACTATACAGGTATTCAAGGGCAGGCTTTAAGATGGTTTAGATCCTACCTGTCCGATCGCTACCACTTTGTTCATTTAAATGGGGAGTCATCTCGATTATCACCAGTAAAATATGGAGTGCCACAAGGATCTGTCCTAGGTCCTCTGCTATTTTCGATATACATGTTGCCCCTTGGTAATATTATTAGAAAATACGGGATTAGTTTCCACTGTTATGCTGATGATACTCAACTATATATCTCAACAAGACCAGATGAAACTTCTAAATTATCTAAGCTAACAGAATGTGTTAAATTTAAAAGATTGGATGACCAATAATTTTCTCCTATTAAATTCGGATAAGACAGAGATATTACTTATTGGACCAAAAGACAGTACACAGAATCTCTTGGATTACAATTTGCAACTAGATGGATGTACTGTTACTTCCTCTACAGTCAAAAATCTGGGTGTTATATTAGATAGCAACTTGTCTTTTGAAAATCATATTTCCCATGTTACAAAAACAGTATTCTTCCATCTTAGAAACATTGCCAAGTTACGAAATATGTTACCTGTTTCTGATGCAGAAAAGCTAGTTCATGCATTCATGTCCTCTAGACTGGACTATTGTAATGCACTGCTATGTGGTTGTCCTGCATCTTCAATAAACAAGCTACAGGTGGTCCAGAATGCAGCGGCTAGAGTCCTTACCAGGTCAAGAAAATATGATATTACCCCAATTTTACAGTCTCTGCGCTGGCTACCTATTAAGTTCCGTATCATTTACAAAATATTATTACTTGCCTATAAGGCCCTTAATGGGTTAGCTCCTGCGTACCTAACTAGTCTTCTACCACGCTACAATCCATCACGCTCCCTAAGGTCGCAAAACTCTGGACTTTTGGTAGTACCTAGGATAGCAAAGTCCACTAAAGGAGGTAGAGCTTTTTCACATTTGGCTCCCAAACTCTGGAATAACCTTCTGGATAACATTGGGGGTTCAGACACAAGGTAACTAGGAATTACACAAGCTTCAGTCTGGATCCAGCCCTTACGAAGATCTGAGAAGAGATTATGCCTACCCCTCAGAGGACCTCAGATGATGCCAAAACTGAATCAACATCCAGAACTACCAAACTTTGCTATAAGTTTGATTGCAAAATATAAGCATTGCTGTTAAGTGTTGACTGTCTGTTTGATTACATGACATTAACTAACTGCATGATATGGACATCAACTTGACATAGTCACCACTGATAAGCTACTCCTAAATATAATGTAGAAACTTGAATTTTCTGTAAAGCTGCTTTGCAATAATTTCTATCATGAAAAGGGCTATACAAATAAACGTGGATTGAAGCTTGAACTGAATGTCAGGTGTTGTGGGAACCTGTGGTGGAGACGGTGATGGGCTCGCTGCGGTCGCTCGGGCCGCCGATGTTCACGGCTCTGATGTGGATGATGTAGTGCTTCCAGGGCTGCAGCTGCACCAGACACTCGCAGGACGGGATCGCCACGACGGACCTGCCGGAAGAGAGCGGACGCTTCACTGCCTTCATCTCAAACAGGTGATCAGATGGATCTCCAAATCTGCACTGAGCGCTTCGGAGCACCAGCGTTCGCAGGTTAGTGACATTATTTGGAGATTAGTTGGTTTAGCTAGTTAGTTACCCACTAGCCCCGCTGTTATTCTGCTCTGTTTTCTGTAATATAATCAGGACTGGGTTTGGACAGACTGACCCTGTCTCTGCTGGTTTGTACTCTCATTTAAATTTTTTCTTACACAACTCTGCTACAGAGGAGAACTGAGCCTGGTTTCTCCCAAGGTTTTTTCTCCATTCTGACACCGATGGAGTTCTGGTTCCTCTTGCTTAGTTAGTTGGGGACACTTAATTTCCAGCGATATCGTGGACTTGATTGCACAGATACTATTTAATCTGAACTGAGCTTGACGATGATGACATCACTGAACTCAACGATGAACTGCCTTTAACTGAACATTGAGTGTTTACTATTGTCCTTCTGCATTATTGACGCACTATTTTCCTATTTTGATGCTATAAAGCTGCTTTGACACCATCTGTATTGTTAAAAGCTCTATATAAATAAAAGTGACTTGACTTGTCTGGAAAGTATCCAGCCATGTAATATGAAAAATATGAGATGAGAGATGCACTACGAGGAAAACATCCTGGCTTTTCCCAAACTTAATTCACCTTTGAAGGAAACTGAAACTGAAACAAGTTTCTTGTATCTTCTTTGATAAATGTCTCTATTTTTCATATTAGATGGCTGGATACTTTACGGCCAGCCCTTGTATGTGCGTTGATCAGTGTTTTGACTTGATATTACATTGAATACAGACTAAATTATCATGATATAAATTGTGATTGTGTCGTTTCAGGAGACTTGGAATATGGAGTCACACTATCTTTCTTCTTTTTGCAGCTTTGGGTCCCACTGACTCATAATATGAGCTGAAACATTCTTCGAAACATCTTCTCTGTTGGGCAGAAAGTGGTACGGTTTGGACGATGTGAGGGTGAGTACATGATGCCAGAACACTCATCTCTGGACTCATTCTGAAGTTTGTAATGAAGCTCACTGACTCTGTGGCGGAGCAGCCGCCGTCTGCGTGGGTCCGGTGAAACTCCAGCGTGTACGACTCCACCGGGTTGGTGTTTCCAGAGTCCCAGCGGATCAGTGCCGCGTCCAGGCTGCTCACGCACTGCCGCGGCTTGAGAACCGGAGGAGAGGGAACTGCACACACACACACAGCGTTACACACTCGTCCACTACAGCGGCTCTGCAGATGAGCGGCACGTACCCGTCATGTAAACGGCCCTCTCGCTGGCAGGGCTGATGCCTGTGGTGTTGGTGGCTGTGACCCAGAGCTCATACTGAGCGTTAGGAAGCAGATCAGACACGGTGCAGTGCGTCTCCTTCACCTTCAGCTGAGACACTGCAAACACACACAGAGCTGACTGGACACGTGTGTGTGAGTGAGCAGCTCCAGTCCTGCAGAGTTCAGCTCCACACACACTCCTGGATGTTTCTATTAAAGGGGTCATGAACTGAGAAACCAAAATTCTCTTGATCTTTTGACATAAAAGGTCATTGTTCTATAAAAACATCCTGTAAGTTTCAGAACCCAAAACTTTGTTGTTAGTCTAAAAACAGCTTATATTGAAGCCGATCTGCCAAAACCACAGCTTGTGGAATGTTCCTATCTATGATGTAATAGTGTGGATAAGCGCCGCCTCCGCAGAAGATCAACGCCTGCTTCTACATCGCTGCCTGTTTAGCTCCGCCCACCGATTCTACAGCGCTGCCTGTTTAGCTCCGCCCACCGATTCTACA